CGCTCCGCGGGGCGGGGCCGCGCCGTGCTCTCGCGATAGCTCGGTCGTGCCCTTGCTGTCATGGCGGGCTATTGGGACGGCCCTGAGGGCGAGCAGTGTCCGCAGCGCACCTGGCTCGCCACACGCGTGGGCGCGGCCGCGGGTGGGCACCGGGGGGAACGGGGCACAGGTGGGGGCGGCCTAGCGGGGCCCAGGGCCGGGCAATGACGCGCGGTGCTGTGTTGCAGGCCTGGTCGGGGCGGCGTATCGCATCATCCTGCTGCGGCCCGGTTCGGCCCTGGCCGCGTTGCAGACGGCAGCGGCGGACAGTGTCACGATGGGTAAGGGCCGGGACTGTCGGTAGTGTAACTATAGGGTGCGATTCCCTCACACCGCAGGGTCTCTGGGCGATCTGGCTCCGCCCTCGCCTCTTTGCCTTTTCCCCCCGCACGGTGTCGGTGGTTCTCTCGTCCACCGGCCCTGTTGTGATTTGGCCAAGAGCCAGAACATTGAAATGGATCCTTGATTTGCAGGTCAGGTAACATTTTTTTGCAGTCTAGAGTAAAAGTTTTTTGGATTTTTTGTATCTCCAGAATACCTAGTTTGTGGGCAACAATATAGTGGAAGTAATTTTTTTAAAAAATATCATGTATCTAGGCATTATATTTAATAAACTGCATTTGCTAAAGAACAGTGCGGTGTTTTTGGTGGCAAAAGGAAAGTAAGTGTGTCTTTTTACTATCATGTTCYRTAGACAAGGAGAAACCATGTAGTTGTCATGAATTGTCTTTGAAAGAGAAAGTGGATGCTGAAGGGAGGGACAGGGATCTGAGGGGGCTGAGTGGTTGAAGTTACCTCAGCCCTTTGTCAAGTGCAGTTTCCTCTTAGCAGCTCTTGCTTTTTAGTCTGATTCAATGGCTTGTGCCACCTGTGCCTCTCCCAAAGTGCTGCTGCTCTGAGCTGGGGCACAGTCAGTCCAGCTCTGCATTTTKGAGTTGTTCGACTCTAAACTAGGGTCTAGTATCTTCTCTAATGAGCTGTCAGGACTGGATTGTGTAATCAACCATGATTTCAATAAATACCTTAATCCTAAGCAGGACTATTGGATCCTCTTGCTAATTTTGCACCTGAGGAAGGGTTTGTCCTGTGCACTGTTCAGGGGCCACACCTCATGGCCTCAAGCTGTGTGTTTTGCCTACAAATGCCCTGGTCCAAAGCAGGGAGAGCAGGAAAGTTGTAATGCAGTCCTGACACTGGAGGTTTTGTTTCTTCAGTGCTCTTTTCAGTTGGTTTTGGAATCAGCCTAATTAATTTGCTACTGAAAAACTGCTCARGTTTGTAACAGGAGCTGCTGGTTTTACATAGGGATTGAAAATTTTTATCCTGGATATTTTTGTTGTTCCAAAGAAAGATTAATTGAAATCTGCAGATAGTGCCTGGTAGACCGTTTCACATTTTATGGTCAAGWGTCTGTATTACATACAAACCCTGCTTTTCTTGACACAACTCGGTGCCAAAGTTTGCAGTTACATCAGTGTAGGGTCTGATGGGMTGATATGTGTAATTCAGTGGACAGGATGCTTCTACTTTGCAGTTCCTTWGTTCAATCCAAAATTCTTAATTCGCTTTCAAAGACAGTTTACAAACAAAAATAATTTCATTTTTCTACTATCCAGAAATCATTGTGAGCCCCAGGCAGGCAAAGGAGGAATGTGCCAGGACTAGCAGTCTGCAGGTAGAGCAGAGCCCTTGGGGTTGCTCTGCTGAGTGCCCTGTGAGGCCAGTTCACAGGGATTTGAGGGCWGAGTTACAGTGAAGAGTCCGGGCAAAGCTGGTTTCACAGACACCACTGCTCCTCTCCAGTASCCCTGCCTTGTTGGGAAGGGCTTTTAGCTGATATGCCAGCAGCATGCAGTGCTGTTTGGCAGCAGTGAGTGTGGGGGACTTGGGGTCCAGCTCRCATCTGAGTGGGATCCGTGTGGTGTAGGGGAAGAAACTCAGGGAATGGGTGGGACTGGGTGATGCTGAATCTCATTGTAGCAGCTGGAATAGAATGTCCCTGGGAAAYGGGAAGCGGATCTTGCTTTGTTTTCCATCGTAGTCACTGTGAATATTGAAATCATGCTCAGTGTGAATTCTYTGGTCGTTGAGGATTTAGTTTTTGGTTCTTTACTTCTTGTTTACAGCTACACTGGGAGCTGTGTTTGGCTTAACTACTTGCCTCAGTGCCCAAGTCCGGGAGAAACCAGAGGATCCTTTGAACTATTTCATAGGCGGCTGTGCAGCAGGAGCTGTCTTGGGAGCAAGAGGTAACTGTGAACAGTGCATACACTGAAATGTGCCCTTGCTGATTTTAGAAACTTTTCTGTTGGGAAAAAAAATGTTAAAGAATGTTGATGTCAGGCTTCTTTGGTAAAGATATATCTCAGCCTCTGTTCCTGACAGTTTCATTGGCATTGTATGGGCCTGCTAAAATAAATATGGGTACGGGAGGGGAGGACACCAAAGGGAACATGAAGTAATAYGAAGAATGAAAGTAGAGCTGACTCAGTACTGCCAGTAAGAGCTACCAGTTATACCTTAAAATTGCAGGATAAGAAAAATACAGTTGTGGAAATCCATGTTTTCTTGGTGACAAGTGTCATTTATTTTAGACAGGAAGCACAATCTAATATCTACCTTGTGAGYTCTTCACATAGTCTGAGGGACAACTGTGTCCTGCTGCTGCTGCTCCTATAATCCCCTGTAAGGCTTAAGCAGATCCTGCAGATACTGGCACAGCTCTGTTTTCTGTAGACATTCATCCTTGAACCTAAAGAAGTGAAAGATTTATTTAAGTGAGGGATAATTGTAATTGTGGT